ACTACTAAAGAAATTACAGAAAATGTGCTGTATTGTGATACATTATGTTATCAGGATGTGACGTTTTTGTCCTGTGTTGGTGTTACAATTCCCCTCAAAATGTATTTGCTGTTGCAAATCAGTTGTGTACCAATGTCATTTTTTAGGGGACAGAGTTAAAATAATCCCTTACAAATGTCTAACCTTTAACTGCATCTGTGGTCTTTGCTAAGACCCCATGCATTGCCACAAAGTAAATCCAGAACACAGACCTCAGTGAGAGCGTTTACATGCACACTAGTATACTGTATTCTGGGTTTGAGTCTTATCCTGGTGCGGATCATATTCAGGATCTGATGTTTACATGGAACATAAACCTGGTTATTCTTATTCCTTCTGCCAAGGGTCGAGTGTTTCTGATCATCTGTACTGGTACCGGTGTGTCTTTGTTCATCCTTAACAATGATGTACCTACTGAGTCACAGTTTGGTGAGTGCAGACAGTCAGAAACCAGTCTGCTGCATTTGGTCTCTATATCTGATAACCAGTAACAGAACAGCAGTGAGAGTTCAGATCACCTCCTGCATTGCTGGTATCAAGCATAATTTTTTTGTTTTACACACTAAACTACCGCGTAAGAGCTGAGAATGCACCTTCACACATACAGAGAATAATCAGAAACCTGAGCCTGTGTTCATCAAACTGCTACAAGTGGAATTATTTGACTTTGGTGAACGCTAAAACTTCTTTCAGTTTCACGACTTAAAAATGCTCTCTTTTTGGAATACCTCTTTAATATATAATTGATCATAATAAACAATCTGAAGCATTGACGTATTATTCAGTTTTATATTTGCAGCTGCTGCTTTCTTGTAAGCTGTTAATGCCCAAACACAGATTTAATAGGATGTTCTGCCTCATGAACCTCGCTCCCTGCTTCAGTTCTCTTTTCAGCCAGTGTTCTACTTTTCTTTATACATATATAACATGGATACAAGATTGGTGTTTCATTTAAATGGAATTTTTAAAGATTTGACAAATTAAAAAGAACTATTTCTAAAAATTCAATAAATAAATAAATAAATAAATAAATAATAACAATAATAACAATAATCACCAATAAATAGATCGCAATAATAATAGTATACCTATATAATGAAAATATAATCCAATAATAATAGATAAGCGTTTTTGTGAGCTTAAAATTAATAAGTTTGAATTCTTAGATGTTTGATAATATGGGCTCTAGATGAGATGTTTCCATGTGTAACACATACCTAACCAAGATACTCCAAATCCAATTAGAACTTGGGATACTAGTGTGCATGTAAAAACACACTTGGCAAACACACTCAAACTATTTGAGTGATTTTCAATCTTATTCTAAATAAGGGGATGAAGACGGTGTATAAACTGTGTGTCTGCCTTCTTTTAAAGTACAGTTTTAACGTAAATATGTTGGACTGGAAGTCTCCTTGCACAGCAGTCAGTACCATAACTGACTGCATGCTGAAGAAGAAATAATTTATTGGGTTGCATGCCAGGTTACAGATTGAGTGTATCAGTGTAACATTAATAACTGAGTCTTTAATGTTCTGTAAATTTTACATTTTTCCTGCTGTGTTGGATCTCCGCTGCTGCTGGGAAACAACACCCACAGACTGTCATCTTGTATGTTTCAGTGTGGAGGCTCTCCTCACAGCTGCTGTGTTGATCTAGTAGGTGTAACGTTGTATCAAGTATGTAAACTGACTGGACTGAGTCTGCTCCGCTGTCGGGCATGTGCTGCACACACACAGGCTCTTCATGTACTGTTAAAACTCAAGAACAGGAGGGAGAAGGGATTTGTTTCGACACACAGCTGATGTCTTTTCAGCTGACATGTCGTCTCATCGCAGGTGCTTCATGCTCATGTACTGTAACAATGTTCTTATTTTTTAGTCCAGTGTTTCCTGTGCTTGGGGATTATTTTAGTTCTGGTTTCACATCCGTCCCTGTTTTTGTTCCCAGTTATGTTTTCTGTGCTTAAAACAAGTTGTCCTTTGGATTTTTTATTGTTGTAAACACATTAATTGTTAACATCTTGTTTTGGGTCCCAAAAGGAGATTGTGGTTTCAGTGAACTTTGATGTTAATTTCTCATTTCCTCTGAAACAGCAATGATGTTTTTTTTTATGTGTTCTGGGGGCAAAATGTAATTTTGGGAGTTACGATTTCATAACAAAAGATGAGGGTATTTGATACCACAAAATATGATTTCTTACTCTGTTGTGCATCAAGATTATGTTTGTCAGGCCTGAAGATAAACTTTGATGTCATTTTTAATGTTTAGGCCGAACCAAGTTTAAAATGATGATTTCTTGAAATAATTAGCACACAGTGGTCTTCTCACTCAACTTTCTTTTGAACCAACATTTCACATTTTAGGCTTTTTCTCATTGAATGCAGCAGAAAAAAAAAAACAGCCTCAATTTGTACAGCATCTTTCCTACACAGACAATTCAAAGTGCTTCATATGAGGCAAATAAATGCATACTTGAAAACATAATTGATTAATTTGAATAGAATAAAATGAGATTAACAGGGAGGGTCAAATCTGCAAAGTCAAGATAAGTTTATCTGGAAAGTTCTTAATTTAGCTAATTTCAGTGCCTCTTCATCTGTACATTCAAGGAAAACTATTATTTACTCTTTATTTGGTCTGAATATTTAGTTTAAGTTCAGTTAATGGTCAGACTGTTATTCTTATCTCATTTAAAGCTGCATTCATTGATTTTTTTGGACCACATAGGGGCAACAGAACATACAACCATTTTATACAGTTATCGCCTATTTACAGATCCA